CCCATCCATCCACCCATCCATCCATCCACCCATCCACCCATCCTTCCATCCACCCATCCATCCACCCATCCATCCATCCACCCATCCACCCATCCACCCATCCATCCACCCATCCACCCACCCCCTCATCCACCCCCCTGCCCGCCGCTGTGCCAGGCACCGGGGTAGCAGTGCCAGAGCCTGGCTCTGCTCTCTCGTGCTGGCCTGGCTGGGAGCAGCTCACAGCACTGGGGCCATCCCGGGCCTGGTTTGGGTCTGAGGAAGCTGTTGCTGCAGAGTGGCCTTGTTGAGGGGCTGGCGCCTCAGGCAGGGAGGCCAGGGAGGGGGCATCAAGGCATCAGGGATGGGAAGGACACTCGTGTGCCAGGAGGAGGGACCTGGCATGCGTGGGCCTGAGGCTGGTGTGGCTGGCACAGCTGGAGGGCCGGGGTGACAGTGGTGAGCTGGGGATGGGGTGCAGCCGGCCCTGTGGGCTGCGGTTGGCGGGTGTGGGGCGCAGCTGGGGGGCAGTGGGGTCGGGCTCCGGTCTGGCTCACGCGCCTCCTGCAGGAAGCCTCGGACACCTTCGCTGCCCTCCTCGCGGGACCTCTCCGCAGCCTCCGTCATGCCTCAGTTTCCTGATCTGTTGCGTGGAGGTGGTGGCGGCTGCCCCACGGGCTGAGGTGCTGGCCAGGAGGGAGTGGTGTGCACTGTGCACAGCCTGGTACCCGGGCCTTGCACTGCTGCTCTGGGTGTGCCAGGCCCAGCTCCATGGCACTGGGGGCTGCGGGCAGCCTGGCTTTCGGGTCGGCAGAGCTGGACCTCCTGCCCCGACAACACCAGCCTTCTGCTCCCCCAGGGCCTGTCCCTGTTGGCCCTGGCTGTTCAGGGACAGTGGGGTAACCGTCCTTGTCCTGGAAGGTTGTGTTCAGTGACAGCAGAAGGTGTCGCAAGCTGCCCTGTGCACCTGGCCTTGCGACACCAGCTCTATCTGATGTGCTGATTGTGGGGAGGGTATTTCTGACTTTCCATAGAAAATTTTGTTCTCACAGAAGTGAGAACTCCCCGAAGCCTCCTTGAGCAGCCCACTGCCCCAGGGCCTTTGCACTGGCTGGGGCTCCATGGGGTGCCCCACTCCCACATGCCTGGATCCCACATGCCTTACCCTGGTGTTTATTTTGGTTTTGGTTTGAGTTTTTCCATGTAAGAATCAAAGCCTCTATTATGGTTTGGGTCTAGATGTCCCCAAAGCCTCACGTGGTCCTCAGCAGGGCTCAATCTAGGGTGTGTGATGCTGGGATTAAGGATGTGGGGTTACTAAACCAGTACAGCAATCGGTTTGGCACCGCCCTAGCCCCTGTCATCTGAATAAGAGAAGAGAGCCAGAAAGATGCTGTCAAAGTCCCTGTCGCTTTTGCTACTTTGTGTGTGCCATGTTGTTTCTCCTGTGCGATGTCCTCTGCCTTGGAGCCTCGGAGCACGGACTGAACCTCTGCACACTGTGGGCTAGATAAACGCCCCCTCCTTTAACTCTGGGAATCCGGTATTTTGGTTTTGGTTTTTTTTGGTACCGGGGATCGAACTCAGGTCCTTGCACTTGCGAGGCAGGTGGCAGAACCACTGAGCTAAATCCCGGGCCCGGGAATCCGGTATTTTGACTCAGCAACGAGAGAAGTAACCCAGAGCCGCCCAAACCCAGCCCCCTTCCCACTCCCTCTTGGCGCTCTGGGGCAGAGCGCAGATTTTGCCCTCGTCGTTCGGTGCCCGGCCGTCCCCAGCCCGGCGACAGCCCTGACCCTCGACACCCACCTGCAGAACGTGCGCATCAGCCCAAGCAGTCTGTCCTTCAACATGTGGAAGGAGATCCCAGTGCCCTTCTACATGTCCGTCTACTTCTTCGACGTGGTCAACCCTGATGAGGTCCTGCAGGGCGGGAGGCCGGAGGTGCGCGAGCGCGGGCCCTATGTGTACAGGTGAGGCAAGGACAGTGGCTCGGGCGCGGGCGGGGGGACACTGAGGCGCGAGGCCAGAGGAGGCCCTCTGGCCTGTCCGTCGCCTGGAGGAGCTGGCATGGTCACCTTGGGGACAGGGACATCGGGCGGGATCCGGGTGCTCTCGGGGCAGTGAGGGACAGCAGGGGGTGTGTGGCCTGCAGAGGACGGACAGAGGGGGACGCCAGGCGGGAGGTGGCCGGCGCCCCACGCAGTGTTCTTGGCTGCTGACCGCACCCCCATCCGTCCCCAGGCAGTTCAGGCAAAAAAGGAACATCTCCTTCCACGACAACGACACGGTGTCCTTCCGGGAGCACTGCACCTTCCAGTTCCAGCCTGAGCGGTCCCGCGGCTCAGAGAGCGACTACATCGTGCTGCCCAACATCCTGCTCATGGTGAGGCACCCCGCCCCGCCCCACACCCAGGGGTCTCCCGGGCAGGCCCTGCCGGGCTGTGGCCTGTGGGTGGTGATGCCCTTGGTGGGAGCAGATCCCGCCAGAGGACAGGCGCAGGCAGCATGCGCAGGGACTTGGGACTTCCTGTCCCAGACGGGGCTGTGCACCCTCCGTCCTCCCGCAGCCAGCCGTGCCGCTGTGGCCCCCGGGAGCCAGGCCTGTCAGGGACGGCACTCAGGGCTTCCTGGGTGGTCACGGAGCCAGACATCCAGGGCAAGGGAGGGGGCAGCGACACAGGCCACGTGGGGTACACAGATGGCTGGCCCCACAGGGAATGTGAGGCCCTGACAAGTCCACATCCCCAGGCTCTGAGGGTCACGTCTGCTCGGCCGCTCCCCTCCGTCACCAGCCCGTCGGGCCACCAGGGAAAGACACAGCCATGGGTGTGGCCGGGTCTCCTACACCCAGCCGAGGGACACTCAAGTGTGAACGTCACAGGGTTCCTGTTTCTTGGAAGTCTTAGGCTGGTGTTTTCCCAACCAACTGAAAATGTAAACAAAACAAAACAGAACAAAACCATTCTTAGCTCCTGCAAAACCAGGCAGTGTAGCTGGTACAGACCCTTCGGAAATTATCGTTGGAAGAATGGCCACGACTCTGCAGGGTTAGGGGGACTTAGATTTTATTTTATGTCCTTTTTTTTTGGAGACAGGATCTCCCTATGTAGCCTGGGCTGGCCTCGAACTCACAGCAATCCTCCTTCCTCAGCTTCCTGAGTGCTGAGATTATAGGTGTGCCCCACCACGGCCAGCTATGTCCTCTTTTTGACTTCTTAGAACTATGTATTTAGATTGGGTGTGGTGAGGCAGCCCTGTCATTCCAGCACTCTGAGAGGCCGAGGCAGGAGGATGGAAGTTCAAGGCCCAGCCTGGGCAACTTAGCAAGACCCTGTCTCAGAAAAAACAGAACAAGGGCTGGAGATGTAGCTCGGTGCAAAGCCTCTGGGCTCAACCCTTAGTACTGAAGACAAAACAATAAGAAACCCCGCTGCCACCCTGCCCCGAGTTCAATGCCTTCAGAGTATCAGAAAGTAAGAGTGGCCGTCAGTTCCAGTTGGGGCAGGGCACTACAGCTCCTGATCTAGAAATGGGGGCAGTGGCTTCTTGATGGAAGATGCTTGAAAAAAATCAACCAGCAGCCAAGACAGTGTCTCCAGAGGGGAGCAGAAGTGACCGGATAAACCCTCTTGTTTTAGGCACCTGGTAGTGGGTGGAGTGGGTGTTGGGGCCTCGGCATTTAGTCAGGAAGGAAAGGATATGGAAGTGGACCTCAAGTCTCTCTCATCTCAGTGCACCCCAAATTGCCTCCAGCAAATGGAGAACTTGAGGGTCGTATAACTGGAAAGGCTGGGGTGCATCGGCTTCAGGTGTGGGTTGATCCAGGATGCACACCGGGTGGCCCTCTCTCTGGCAGGCCCACCCCTCACGGTGGCTGCAGCCCCCCAGGATGAGGCCCCTGCACAATGTCTCCTGGTGGCAGAGTCTTGACCCAGGCCCAGCCTGGCCGGGGGAGGCCGGTTCTGACGGGCCAGGCCTGTGCCTCCCACCCACATTGGTGCCGAGTTAACTTAATCGGCTGGGGAGACCCAGGGAAGGTGGTTCTGGGATCCGGGAGGGGCCTGGCCGTCCCCTGGGCCACGCTCACCGTGCCCACCTGACACTGTCCTCGTCCGCAGGCCGCCTCGGCCATGATGGAGCACCAGCCCGCGAGCCTGAAGCTGATCATGACGCTGGCCTTCAGCACCCTGGGCCAGCGTGCCTTCATGAACCGAACCGTGGGCCAGGTCATGTGGGGCTATGAGGACCCGCTGGTGCACCTCATCAGCAAGTACCTCCCACAGATGTTCCCCATCAAGGGCAAGTTCGGGCTGTTCCTGGAGGTGAGTGGCTGGGGACTGGGGGGCCGCTGTGGTCGTCAAGGGTGGGGGACCCGGCTCAGGGCCACAAGCGAAAGAGGGGATTTATCAGAAGCTGGGTGTGGTGGTGCACACTTGTCATCCAGCTCCTGCAGAGGCTGAGGCGGGAGGATCCAAGTTTGAGGTCAGCCTGAGCAACTTAGCCACGTAGTGAGAGCCTGACTGGAACTAAAGCAGAAAGGGCTGGAGAGGGAGCTCAGTGGTGGTGGGGCGTTTGCCTCGCACACGCGAGGCCCAGGTTCAGTCTGCAGCACTGAGCAACGAGAAAAGGAAGTGATGGGCCACAGAACTGGGCCAGCGAGGGTTGGACTGACCCAGGCTCGGACAGGGCTGAGGCTCAGTGAGGGCTCGGAGGCCTGGCGGGAGGAGGGGAGGCTGCTGGGGAGGCGGATCCCAAATGCCTCCACTCGGGCTCAGAGCTGTAAGCCAGGAGGGTCCTGACTGGGCGCCCAGCCGAGATCAGGTCACCACCTGACCTCTGACCTCTGACCTTGGCTCCCTCCATGCAGGATTCAGTGTGCCTCGCTGGCCACAGGGCAGGCTGGGAGTGTGGCCCGGTGACGTGGGTGGCCGCAGCAGTCTGCTAAGCTTTGTCTGTGCTTGTGCCACGCCACAGTGGGAGACTGGCACCCTGTGCTCGGTCCTCGTGGTGTTCCTAGCATGGTGTACTGAGCTCAAACTTGGCATCCTCCTGCCTCAGCCTCCCAGAGTGCTGGGCTGGCAGGTGTGCACTGTGAGGACAGCCACCCCTTTGGGTTGGGAAGGGAGATGGTGGCCCTGGTCCCCCGGGACGGACAGGGCCGTGACGGAGCTGTGGCCCGACGCCGTGGGTCCTTGGTCCCCGACTCAGACACGCTGTCCCCACTGTCCTCAGATGAACAACTCGGACTCCGGGCTCTTCACAGTGTTCACGGGGGTGAAGAACCTCAGCCGGATCCACCTGGTGGACAAGTGGAACGGGCTCGGCAAGGTGAGGGGGCGCAGGCCAGGCAGCCTGGCGGCTCAGGCCCCGGGCACCTGGGTGGGCCGCTGAACTCTGCCGCTTGCCAGGCACCTGCTGTCCGCTGGGGCCCTGCGCTTTCCTCCCTGGAGTCTTCATTTAGGAGAATGGTTCTGAGTGTTCACCAGGGCACAGGGCTCAGGAAGCCGTTCCTATTAAAGAGTAAACAATGGGGACGCCCGGTCCCTCTGTGCGCTGGCCCTGCCGGCCGCCCCTCCCTGGCCACGGAGGAAGCCGGGTGCCGGGTCCAGGTTGTCCCTGTGGCTCTCATCCCTGTGCACCCTGGTCGAGCCGAGCGAGGCAGTGCCCCTGGATCGCCAGTGACTTGCTTGTATTGCTGGGCGGGCTTTTCCAAGATGCGGGACCCTGACTGTGCTGCTGTTCTCCCACCTACCAAGGCGAGACCCCCGAAGCCCGCAGTCACAGTCACAGTTCAGGATGCCACAGATGTCCGCGTGTGTGCCCACTTAGAGAGCTTTCCGTGCACTTCAGGTAGAAAATGAGCTCTGGAAGTTGGGCGTGGTGGCGCACACCTGTGATCCCAGCACTCGGGGAGGCTGAGGCAGGAGGATTGCCGCAAGTTCAATGGCAGCCTGGGCTATGTAGTGAGATTGTCTAAAAATACAAAAAAGAAGGAAAATGAGCTCTGGATCTAAGCCTCACTCCCCGCACAACAGACCTGATCCTTCTGTTCTGAGGTTTCCTGGCGGCCGCCACCATTGTGATTTGAAATAGTTGACAGGCACTGGGTGGTTCCTGCTTCACCTGTTTCCAGGAGCCTCTTGACGTCCCCTGGGGCGAGACGTGGGTGACAGCCCCGCCTCCGGCCGAGGTCCCAGTCACAGGGCCAGGGTTCCCGCCTGAGGAGCCCAAGCTGCACTGGGCATCGTCTGTGTGCACAGGCGGCTCCTGCCGGCCGGCCGAGTGGCCACGTCCCCACTGCTTCCCTCCCCAGGTCAACTTCTGGCACTCAGACCAGTGCAACATGATCAACGGGACCTCCGGGCAGATGTGGCCGCCGTTCATGACCCCAGAGTCCTCGCTGCAGTTCTACAGCCCCGAGGCCTGCAGGTGACTGTGCCGACTCGGCGGGGCACGGTGGGGGGCGCGGGCAGGAAGTAATCCCGGTCGAAGGGCTGCGAGATGAAGGCAGGAGGTGGCCCTGGAGGCCCCGGGCTCCCCGCGTGCCCCTTGACCCTCCACCTCCCCAAGCCCGGGAGCCCCGCTCAGTGCCGGGCGGGCGCTCGTGCGCTCTCGGGGACGCCAGCCAGGCCTGGGGCGTCAGAGAACCTGCGCGGGCTCCGCGCGGCGCCACTCAGACGCACCACTTACTTTATCTTTCTGCACTCGCCTGGAGCAGCAGAGACAGAAAAGAGCGTGGGTCCCAGGCCACGCCCCATGACCTATGACCTCCCACCAGGCCCCGCCTCTAAAAGCCCCCAACCCCAGCCTAGAACAGGGCCCCTTCCACACTCAACCAGCCATGGCGCCACTTCCTCGCCTGGCTTCTCTTCTGCCCACGCCTCCCTGCGGGCACCTCCTTGCTGCCCACGTGAGCCGCTCCGAGACAACGTGCCCTTTACGCCTAAATACTTCCGTGGGTGTTTTCTAAAAACAGATACTTTGTTACACATCCAGTTGTTAAAACTGGGGCGTTTAACGTGAACACAGTCGCACTGTCTAAGCTGCTGCTGTCAGTAAGACTATAACGCAAGGCACAGATGCAAGTTTTGTTTGAGATGGGTTCTTGCTAAGTTGCCCAAACTATACTCAGGTGATCCTCCTGCCTCAGCCTCCCCAGTAGCTAGGACTGGAGGTATGCACAGCTGCACCTAGCTCATGTATAGCTTTCAGCTTTCTAGTAGTGGTGATGACTACATTGACCCACGTATTATTTTTTTATTTTTTATTTATTTATTTTTGGTACCAGGGATTGAACTGGGGACCTTGCGCTTGCGAGGCAGGCAGCAGATCCACTGAGCTAAATCCCTGGCCCGACCCACGTATTGTTATTTCAAACATCACTGGAGAGTTCTCTGATTTCTGAGAGCCCCAGACTGTGTTGGACACTGGCCACCCGCCTCCACCCAGACTCCCCCTGGGTTGAGGGCCCAACAGAGAGGGCTACACAGGCCAGGTTTCCATTTTGAGGGAGGACAGCAGGCGCAGGGATGGAGGGTGGATGGGACCGCAGAGACAGAGGGTGCAGAACTGAATCTGCTTTGTGAGGCCTCAGGGAGCAGCGGTCCTGGTCCTGGCCAGGCTGTAGCTCATACCAAGGTCCTGGGGCAGCAAGGATCTTGGCCAGGGTGTTGGGGGGGTCAGCGAGACAGGGAGGGGAGGCCAGGGCAAGGGCAGGGGCAGACAGTGCATTGCAAAGGGAGCCATGTGCAGCTGCCCCTTGGAGTCCTCAGGGGTTGGAGGACCCCTGTTGGTACTAAAATCCCCAGATGTTTGAGTTGCTTTTATCAAGTGGAGCCACATGTTCCTGTAATTTGCACGAGCCCTCCTGCGTACTATGAATCCTCTCTAGATGACTTACAATACAAACCCGATGTGCATGCGATGTAGACAGTGGTGTTCCATGTCGTTCAGGGATAACGGGGAGGAACAGGGCTGGGGGACCGGGAGGGCCGTGCGAGGCACATCCCGTCCCCTCACTGCCTGCTCCTCCCCAGGTCCATGCGGCTTGTCTACCGGGAGCAGGGCGTGTTCCAGGGCATTCCCACCTACCGCTTCTCGGCCCCCAGCACCCTGTTCGCCAATGGCTCCGTCTACCCACCCAACGAGGGCTTCTGCCCGTGCCTGGAGTCGGGCATCCAGAACATCAGCAGCTGCAGGTTCGGTATGTGTCACCTGTCACTGGTGGGGCGCGCCCCCTTCCCCTCTGGCCTCTGTACCCTCAATAATCCCATTAGGCCAGAGATAAGGAGCACAGTGTGGAGACAGCACCCGGGGAAAACTGCCTGCTCCTTAGATGCCCGCCCTGATACACCCCGGGAAGTCCCAGGAAGCCCGCTTTGCTATCTGGGTCTGGAGTTCGGCTGTGCTCCCAGGCTAAGGTCCAGCCTGCTGTCGGGGACGTTCCCAGCCTGTGGGGGTGCCGGGTCACGCAGCCCCGCTGCCTTCAGTGCTGGCGACGTCTCGGCCACTCCGTCCCTGGCTCTTGCTGAGCCCCAGCTCTGGGTTTCGAGGACCCCCGAGACCATGTCAGGCCCAGGCGGACAGGCAGGGTCCTGGCTCCCAGCGCTGACCCACAGCCTCAGGTCCCCAGTGCCCAGGAGCGCAGAGTCCCTGGGTCCCGGACTCGGTCAGGGACGGCGTGGAGGGGTGAGGTGCGGTGAAAGGGCCCTCCCCTGGCCTGACTGCCCCACGAGGCCCTCAGCCTCCTGTGGTTGTGTAAATGGAAGCTGAGCAAAGTGACGTCGCATTCAGAAGCCACTTCCTTGGTCACCCTGGCCACATTTCGGATGCCTGACACCCACCTGTGTGCAGTGACCCCACGCTGGAGACTGCAGGGGAGGACGTTCCGCATGGGCTCCTGAGCCCTCTGTTGGTCTCTGCTCAGCCCCCCACCCTGCAGGGGCTCCCAGTCCCTCCTGCCAGTTGCCCTCTATTACTTCATCCTTTTTCTTTTTTTTTGGTACTGGAGATCGAACTCGGGTCCTTGTGTTTTCAAGGCACGAGGCGGAACCGCTGTGCTAAATCCCCGGCCCTGTTACTTCATCTCTTTAAAAATGTCTTTTCTTTTTTGGTACTGGGGATTGAACCCAGGCCCTTTACACTGAGCTGCATCTCCAACCCTTTTTAATTTTTAATTTTGAGACAGGGTCTCATTAAGTTCCTAAATTGCCCAGGCTGGACTTAAACTTTCGATCCTCCTGCCTCTGGGATGACAGGTGCGGGCCACCACGCCTGGCCCATCATTCCTGTTTTGTCTTCCTGCTGCTCACTGCTGTCGGGGGCTCCTTCACTTGCTCATTGCCTGCCTCTCTGGGAGGCTGTGCTCTGTGGGCTGGGCTCCGTGTGGTCCCGTCTGTACCCTCAGCTTCCAGGCCATGCTGGCCACTGGCCACCATGGCTACAGACTTGAGTGCGTGCATGCGTGCGTGTGTGCATGCGTGTGTGCATGCGTGGTGTCTCCTTCTTTAGGGCCTGGGGCTCATGGCTGGGTTTGGGTGGGTGCTCGGGAGCCAGGACGGTGTCTCCAGCTATGGGCTGCACAGGGCCCTCCGTGGGCAAAGGTTTGGGTACCTGCCTTGTGGGGCTGGCCACTGTCCTGTCTCCCTCTGTCCTCACTGCTGTCTGCAGGGATTTCTGCTCTGAGCATGGAGCCCATGGGGTCACCTGCAGGGAGGGTGTCAGCACAACTTCTGTGACAAGTGGCAGGTGCCAGGCCTAAAGGACACTCCCAAGGGTAGTGGAACTAAAACTCCAGGCAGATCCCTGCACAGCGTGGACTGGTGTGAGTGTTGTCTGCAAGCTGCCTCTTGCTATGTACACTCCAGCTTGGTTTTCCAAGCTGCCAGGCAGTACAAACCCTTGTCTGCGGGTGGAGACCCCAGGCTTCTCTGCATCCAGCCACAGTCCCAGGGTTCACTCTGACTGGTTGCTCTGCATCCCTTGCCCAGCTCTGAACCAATCACTGTGTGTAGGTCAAGCTGGGCTATGCTAATTGGCCAGTCTGTGTCACATGCTCAGCTTTCAGGGTGGGGCCCACATCCCTCAAAGCAGAGCCCAGGGGAGGTTGTAAGTGGGGTACAGCAGCCAAAAGGAGGGGAGAGCGACATCCCATCCTCTCCAGAGGGTGAACACTGCCTTCTCTTAACACATCCCCCACGAAGAATCTCAAAAGTACGAGAGTTTAGACATCTTCAAACATATTTATTGCAATGAAGCTTTTCCTTTTTCTTTGAGGTGCTGGGGATCGAATCCTGCGACACCCCCTTTTTGTTGGTTTGTTTACTTGAGACAAGTTGCTGAATGGCCTGGGCTGGGCTTGAACTTGTGACCCTCCTGCCTCAGTCTCCTGGAGAGCTGGGATGACAGGCGTGCGCCACATGCCTGGCTAGAACCCTTTTAAGTGGAAATACCCAGATGCACAGAGCAGGGCGGAGGACACAGCCGTCGCTTGGCCAGGCCATGTGGCCTGTAGCCAGCGATGGGGCCTGGCGCCGTCTGTGGCCCCGACTCCTCAGGCTGATCTGGGCGCCGGCTCTGCCTGGCTCTGGCCTCTGCAGTGCCAGGCGGGTGTCTGGTGGGCACACACCCCGATTTCCTCACCCCTCCCTTCATTCCCGAAGTTCCTGACCCTTCCGGGTGCTCCTGGAACATTCCTGCACGCGCTGCTTGGTGTCCTGGACACACATGTGTAGGGTGTTTTATCTCCAGATTAAAAACCTGCAGGCATGTTCCCTGCAAGGCCTTGAGGACGGCTTGGCCTGTGCCCCCCAGGTCAGGCTCCAGCTCCCCAAGTCCTGGCTTGCTGGGCGGGCCCCTTAGGGTGCTCACCCTGGCGATTAAGTTTGCTTAGGTGTGCCAGGGAGCCGTAAATCAATTATCCCCAATGGCCTGGGTGGGGCTCTCTCAGGTGTCTGCCAAGAAACAGGTGGGGATGAGATGGAGCGTGGGAGACAGAGTTTTCCAGACTGCAGGACTTTGTCCTTGAGGCGCTTGAGAGATGTCTCAGCACACAAGCAGGTAGCGCTGGGAAACCTCGGCGTATTAGGTGTCTGCTTCTGTTGTCTTTTTGGGGGCAGCACTGGGGATTGAACCCAGGGCCCTTGCACTCAGCTACACCCCCGGCCCTTTATAAATTTTGAGGCAGCGTCTCACTAACTTGCTGAGTTGCCCGGACTGGGCTCACCCTTTTGATCCTCCTGCCACAGCCTCCCAGAGTGCTGGGATCCCAGGCGCCCGGCTTCACTCTCTCCATCTTCCTCTGGTCCGGGGAGGGCTCAGGACCTTCAGGCGCTCAGCAGCCTGTGTCCGTCACCAGGAAAGGGAAGGGTCACCGTGGAAGCCTCACAGGCCCAGGGTCTGGCAGGGTCCCCTGCCGCCACCAGTTTCCACTGGCTTTGCAGGTGGCCACCAGGCTGCTGTCCGTCACTCGCACTCAGCCCTGCGGCCGGTGCCACCCGCACAGGCCTGTGCCTGACTGGAGTCTGCCGGGCCCGGCTGTCCCGTGTCCCAGGGCAAGCTGGCTGGCCGTCCTGGCGTCCTCAGGCCCATTGCACGACGCCAGGGGCGGCCAGGTCCCTGGGGGGTGGCGGTGCTCAGGCCGCTCCCCGAGCCCAAGTCCCAGGCGGCCGCCCGTTACCAGTCCAGGCCCTGCGCCAGCCTCTGCTGTCCCCTCCACCTGCAGTGCTGTCCTTGGCCTCCTTGCCTGGTGGCTGTCCGAGGCCTCTTCCTGTTTCCTCTCCTGCCAGACTCACAGGCCCCTGCTCGCTGGAGTTTGCACTCACTGTGTCCCGGCCCTTTACAAAAGGAGCCAGGGGCTTCTCCTGTCTGTTTATCGGGGCTCGAATCTTGTTTGGTTTTTTGAGACAGGGTCTCGCTATGTAGTCCAGGCTGGCTTTGAACTCCCTGGGATCCTCCTGCCTCAGCCTCCCACGTGTGGGGATTACAGGCGTGCACTTAGCTATGTGTGCCTCTTGTCACGGAACTGTGTGCCGTGTCCCTGTCTGTGCCTGCCTGGCGCCTGCTCGGCTGCACAGAGCTGCCAACATGCAGTGCACCCCTGTGCCCGACGCCCCTCCGCCCCTCCATGTTCCAGGTGCGCCCCTCTTCCTCTCCCACCCACACTTCTACAACGCTGACCCGGTCCTGGTGGAGAGGGTGCTTGGCCTGCACCCCAACGCAGAGGAGCACGCCCTCTTCCTGGACATCCACCCGGTGAGCCCTGTGGGGGCGCTGAGGTGGGGCTGGGGCTGGTGGGCCCCTCCCCTCGGCTCACCCCCACACAGCGCCCCGAGGGTGAGGGCTGCTGGAAGATGGAGCTGGCCAGGGTCATCACTTTACCCGGACTCCATAGTCCAGGGATTTTATCATAGACCCTTTGTAAGTGTCTATAAAAGGGCCATCAGACAGTAAATTAATTAGGCATTATCAGCCCGGTCGCCTCCTGCTAATTAGCCAGGCACCCTCAGGCCGTGGCGACGCTGTAAAGACCTTGCTCGTGAGTCAGGTGCTTGAGGAATTTGTCCCATGGGAAGTCCTGTCTCCCAGCAGGGAGCGGGCAGGAGGGACCTGCATGTCAGCCTGGCCACACCCCTGCCTGCTGTGGGTGTCCCCGTGGGACTCGGTGGCCCGGACATTCTCTGGGGTGCTGTTATGTCCCCGAGGACACTCACATTCTCCTCTTAGGTTTTCTTCGTCCACGTAGCCTGGGGATTGAGCCCAGGGCCTTCACACTGAGCGCCCCGTTGCAGCTTTTTATTTTTATTCTGCGACAGGGTCTCTTTGCTAAGTTGCCCAGGCTGGGCTCAATCCTTTTTTTTTTTTTTAAGAGTAGGAAAAATTTATTGAGAAAAAGAAAGCTTCTGTCTAAGAGACACAGAGGGGGACTGGAAAGTGGGTTGCCCACCCACCCCACTTTTCAAAGATGTTTTATACAGCAAAGCTGAGGCAGCTACACAGTGGGACAAAACTGTAAGACCCAGTGGAAATTTACAAGATGGGCATGAGGTGGGAGTAAATAAGATTACAAGTACAGTCACCCAGGTAATATTGATTAAATGGGGATCAAATGGGAAGACAAGACACATACAAGGAACTTCCCATTTAGAATAGCAATCACTGCTCTCTATCTCTAGCGGAAGTAGTGCTTCTTTTCCTTTCTATAATGCTAACCAGTGAATGTGCCTCAGTTGTCCTCCATGTTGGTTCCTTGCTGTGTTGGCTCCTGGAGGGCTGGCGCCTTAAGGGAGGCCCTGTCTACCTGCCAACAAGATATCTAATTAACTTACCTATCTATAATATTCCCCCCTCTGAAGGAGTGCCCCTAACTGCTGCGAGGGGGCAAACGGCGAAGACTGTTCTGCTACTTCCAGCTGAAGAGGGTCGTAGTTGTGATCAGCAGTCAGTTAATCTACAGAGAGTCTTCTAAAGGCCCTCGATAGGTCCCAGGCATTGTCATCTTGGTAGCTGTATGGCTCTGAGTCTGGAGGAGACAAAAGCCAAAGAAACAGTTAATACATGGGCCAAATTATAAGGTCATCAGGACTGCTATGAATATAGCCAACAAGGGCCTCCACTGGGAGGAACTAGTAACAGCCTCCCACAAGGAGGATAAGGAGAAGGTCCAGGGGACTTCAGAATCCAGCATAGAAGTCCTATTGTATAGTTTAGCAGTTCTGAGCTGTTTACAAGGTCGATCTGGTGGATCCCGGTAAAAGAAGTCTAGCATATTTGTCACTGGTTCCATTTGTATGACTGCTTGGAGTTTGGCAGCCTCCAGGCAAGAATAAACAAAACTTAAGAAGTTAGAGCATAATTTAAGCATGTCAATCTTGGAATCACCCTGCCTCAGCCTCCCAGAGTGCTGGGATGACAGGCGTGGACCAGCACACCCAACTCCCCATCTGCCTCCTTTAAAAAAAAATTTCTTTTTAAATGGAACCATAAAAGTTGCATGTGTTTATGGTGTGCAATACGGTGTCATCACGCATGCCTCGGCTGGGTAATAGCTCAGCTGAGCTGATTAGCGTATCAGCCTGGGCCTCCTGCCCTTGGTGTGTGCAGTGATGACATGGGCATCTGCAGCCCCAAGTGTGGCTGCCCCAGGCACCTTCGGAGCATCAGCCAGCGCCCCCGGCCTCCATCCGGACTCCTTTCTGCTGTCCTTCCTGATCTTCATGACATCCGTGTGCCACTTCTGTTGCTCACTTGAAAAAGTGTCTCATTTAAAAATATTTCTGCACAAAGAAAGCTTTCTATTACTACATCAAAGAGGAAGTGACAAAATCCTACAAAGCAAAAGAAAAGATAAGACAGTCGCCATATAGAGGAACACTAGGAACAAGCAATTACTGAGCTCCTTGAAAGTGGCATATGCCACTCTGGGAGGCTGAGGCAGGAGGACCACAAGTTTGAGCCCAGCCTGGGTAACTTAGTGACTTAGTGAGACTCACTCTAAAAATAAACAACGAAAAGGGGGGGGCAGGGATTTAGCTCAGTGGTAGCGCTCCTGCCTCGCAAGCGCAGCAAGGTCCTGAGTTCGATCCCCGCCACCAAAAAAAAGGAGGGGATAGGGATGTAACTCAGTGTGAAGGTCCCAGTCCAGTCCCCAGTGTTGCCAGCCACAAAAGCAGCAAGACTGCCAGGGGCACTGTGCCTGCAGTGGCTCCGTGGAAGACGGAGGTTCCGTGCAGTTTTATTGCAAAGGCGCCGAGGACCACGCCACCCAGGCTGCCGCTTCCTGTCTGAGCCGACCGGGAGAGGGGGCAAACGTGGTGTGGTGTGGAGGCCAGGAGGGGCCGTCCGAGACCCATCATCCTGCCGCGTGGAAGGGACAGAGGAGAGGCTGGGACGTTTGGGTGCCTGGGGGTCAGCGCAGACTCCAGGGTGGGCTGTAGCATCCTAGGAGGTGGGCCCTGGCCCGCTGTCACTATCGGGAGGCACGGCAGGCCAGCCTCTGGGTGTGGAGCCTATGCCCGCGTGGGGCAGGCCGGGACCCTGCTGCTTACTGTCCTCTGCCACACGCAGGTCACCGGGATCCCCATGAACTGCTCCGTGAAGCTGCAGCTCAGCCTCTACATCAAAGCCATCAAGGGCATCGGGTGAGTGGGTGCCGGGCCGGCCCAGACTCCAGCACGCAGCCAGAGCCGGTGTGGGCCCAGTCCCTGCCTCTCCCTGGGGCTGGCTCAGCTCTGGGCCGAGCCCTGGCCTGCACCCAGCATCCCTTCCACACAGGACCCTCCTCTGCTGCCCATCTCCCGCCCCAGTTAGCCAGGCTCTTCCATCTGACCTGTCTCCCACTCTGCAGTGCGGAAAAGTTAAGGCCTGGCCAAAGCAAGTGTTTGAAAATGAAACTTCATCACACAGCGTTCTTATGTTCAACTGTTCACTTTACATTGGAATCTTTCAAGCACCTGATTTTCTTTTGGTACGGGGGATCGAACTCAAGACCTTGTGCTTGCCAGGCAGGCACTGTGCCACTGAGCTAAATCCCCAGCCCAGCACCTGATTTTCTTTTTTTTTCTTTCTCTAATTTTTAGCTTTTAAAATAACAGGATTAAAGCCAGGTGTGGTGGTGCCTGTAATCCTACCACTCGGGAGGCTGAGGCAGGAGGATTGCTGTGAGTTCAAGCCCAGGCTGGGCTACATAGTGAGACCATGTCTCAGCAACAAACAAAAATCAGCTTTCTCAGGGGCCGGGGATTTAGCTCAGTGGTTTCACCACCTGCTGTGCAAGTGGAAGGACCTGAGTTCAATCCCCGGTACAAACAAAAAAAAAGAAAAAAAATCAGCTTTCTGGAGATATTATTCATAGGCTGTATATTTCATCCTTTTCAAATGTACAGTCCAGTGATCTGTATTCTGTTCTCAGAGCTGTGCAGCCCTCACTACAGCCAACTCCAGAGCATTTTCATCACCCTTAAAGAAAACCCTGGGCCTCTTAGCCATCCTTTTCTATCCCCTAAGCCTCAGGAGGCTCCTGATCCACCTGCTGTCATCATGGATGTGGTCACTCTGGACGTGTCTCACAGGGGAATGGCACACTACCAGGCCTTCTATGTCTGGTGTCATTCACTTTGTGAGTTGCAGCAGGTGTGTGTATTTTTCACGGCTGTGTGATACTCCACCATAGAGGCAGACCACACTTTATCTGTTGATGGATGTTTGGTCATTGCCACTTTTTCCCCATGGTGATTTGTGCTGCTGTGCCCTTTATGTGTTGGGGTGGACATGTGTCTTCGTTTCCTTTGGCTGTGGCCAGGAGAGAGACTGTGGGTCACAGGGTCCTGTCTCAGCAGTGACAGCCACTGGGCCACAGTCACCTACCTCGGATCTTCACAGGCCTGGGGATCAGGACATGGGCAGCCTGGGCGCTGTCCTCCTGACGGTCGCTGTCTCCAAGCCGTGGTCCACAGTTCTCACCTAGTCCTTGCCTAACCCCACGAGGCTGCTGCTCTATCAGCTTTGTCTTTTTTTTGGTACCAAGGCTCGAACTCGGATCCTTCCGCTTGCAAGGCAGGCGGCGGAACCACTGACCTAAATCCCCGGCTCTAGCAGCTTGTCTTATAGAGGACAAAACAGGGACACAAAACAGCCAGGTGACTCGCCCAAGTCACACAGCTCACACTGCAGGGCATTGTGTTTATCCAAGCTGTGTGTCAAGTGGGAGCTAAAGGGGCTGGAGGGAGGACCTGGGCCTCCCATCCCACATTGGGTCACGAGCGTCACTGGTGAAACTGGTTTATTTCTTTTGTACCAGGGATCAAACTCAGGACCTTGCACTTACAAGGCAGGTGTGGCACCACTGAGCTAAATCCCCAGCCCATGGATTTTAAATCTTTGAGATGTTAGGAGGCAGACAGGCCTAGGGAGGCACAGCCAGTGTCCTGGGACATGTGTGGTCCAGGTCCTGTCCATCTTTCCATTCCATTTTCCTAGCACGAGGTTGCCATCCCAAAGGTTACCTCTGCTCTAAATGGCTGCCAGGGATCCAGATAGTGCATCTGCATCCCAGGCAGCTGAAAGGGAGAAAGGAAAAAGTGTCCTCAGTGTGGTGGTGCACACCTGTAATTCCAGCAGTCAGGAGGCTGAGGTAGGAGGACTGCCGAGAGTTCAAGGCCAGGCTGGGCTACATAGGGAGACCAAAAAACAAACAAAAGAAAAGAAAAAGGAACAACTGTTCACCCCCCCAGCTAGCCTACATATGCTTCTGCTAACATCTCATGAACCACACTTTGCTAACGCCCCCTCACGGCCCCCAGCCCCAACCTGCACAACCTCGAGGCTGCAAATGCAGCGCCCTGCAGACCCCCAAGCGCTTGCTCGTGTGCTGAGACAGCAGGGCCCAGCTCATCGTGGTGTCTCGCTTGCTTGCAGGCAAACCGGGAAGATCGAGCCGGTGGTCCTGCCGCTGCTGTGGTTTGGGCAGGTGAGATGCGTGGGATGCGGTGTCAGGGGTCCAGGAGTCCGGGTGTGCAACGAGGCAAGGGCCTCGGTGATGGCTTCGTCAGTGCTGTGACCAGGTCTCCAGAGACCCTGGTAGCTGGTCTTCAAGGAATCCACTTTGCCTCGAACCTCTCTTTGCCCAGCTTTTCTGTTTTCCTTCGGGCTTCCCTTTTTTTTTTTTTTCTTTTGAGACAGGATCTCACCAACTTGTCCAGGTGGGATTTTGCCTCAACCTCCTAGAGTGCTGGGATTGCAGGCATGGGCCGCTATGCCTGTCTAGACCTACTCTTTTGTTTTTATTTTTTATATTGTTTTATTTTACTATGTTGTTATTTCTAGTCTACCTAGATTCAAACCAGGGTTTGCTATTGGCCGGAACACACAGCTGTGAAAGTCAAGGGAGGCGAGCCCTGGTCCACTCAGTCATTCAGGGCCCTAGGCTTTTTCCGTTCCGGGGCGGGCCGTTCCGGGGCCCCGCCCCCGGAAGTCTTCGGACTTTGCCTCCGTTCATTGGTTGGGAAAACAGACGGCGGTCACACGGGGAGGGTTAGTGGACCAGAGCTACCGCCCATTGGCCAGAGCTTGATCACGTGGCCATGCGCAACTGCAAGGGCGTCTGGGAAATGTAGGCCCCTCCAGTGCCTTGTAGAAAGCGGAGCGCTTGGTCCAGGGAGCCCGGGGATGGGGAGGGGATCAACAGGACAGAGGGGCATGGCATCTGCGTCTGGGTCCCAGCTCTTTGTCATTCCGCCTCCCCAGAGCGGGACCATGGAGGGTAAGCCGCTCAGCACGTTCTACACGCAGCTGGTGCTGCTCCCCAACATCCTCCACTACGTACAGTACGTGCTGCTGGCGCTGGGCAGCGCGCTGCTGCTCATCCTGGTCGTCTGTCAGGTCCGCAGCCAGGTAGGTGGCTCCCCCCAGGCACTGGGGCCAGGACGGTCGGGGGATGGGCAAAATTGGGCTCAGCCTTTCCTCTTGAAGCATTGCACCTGTCGCATCTGCGTTTCCACTGCTGCCTGTCCCGGAAGGCCTGGAACGCTCCTCGGGATGTGCAGGGGCCATCAGGTGGCGCCACGGGTGCAGGACCTGCGGACAGGGAGGTCCCTGCCCAGACGGAATGCGCAGGCTGCTACGAAATCCAGGGACATAGGCAGAAAAGATGCTTTTACCCAAAATAAAGCTGATTGGAAACTTGATGGGTTAGAGCCAGCGCTATGCGCGAGCCCCGTGTAGGACCTTAAATTTTCTGATAGCCACATTAGGTCAAGAGAAAAAGGTAAAATTAATTTTAATGGATAACTTTATTTAACGCAAATATATCCAAAATGTTATCGCTGTAACATGTAAACAATATAAAATATATACTGTTTTTGCAAGCTTTTCTTTCAAGTCTGGTCTTTGAAATCCAGAGTGTATTTTATGCTTACAGCAGCAGGTCTCCATTCAGACTCACCCTGTTTCAGGGCTTGACAGCCCTGTGTGGCTACTGGACTGGACAGCCCCTGTCCACAGGCTTGTGGACAAGTACAGACAAGTCACAAAAGCCTCTCTCAGTCCAGGCTTAGATGTAGCTGTTGGGGAGGAAGGGATGCCTGCCCATGCAAAGGCCCTGGGGCAGGGACCATGAGGATCAGGGAGGGCCAGGGTGGCTGGGGAGGGGAGGCCATGCAGCTCCATGAGGCAAGGCAAGCAGCGTGGAACTGATTTCCACAGTGAGCAGAAGCTGCGGGAGGCTTTAAAGGGCGGAGTCACTAGATCGTTGTGTGGCACTTGAGGTCTGGCTGGGAATGGTGGCGGTGGGGCTGGGGAGTGTCTCGGAACAGGGTGGCAGCTGTAGCAGGGAGCACAGCCACCCTGGGCTTCTGGCTTTAGAAGCAGGAATAAGAGGGCTGAGGACAGATCTGGCCTTTCTCAGGGGCTGTTTGTCCGTGATACAGAAGCAGCAGACAGTGAGCTCAGGAGACCAGGGTTGAGTGTGGCCAACCTTCACCCAGGCCCCCACAGTCACAGGGTGATCGGAGGGAGTGGGCACAGGCCTCAGGCAGAGGAGGCGGGACGCTGGTCCAGGGCACCATCTGGACGGCCACTTAGGAATGGTGTGTGAGGGGCCACTGCGCAGGCCCCACCAGAGGGGGCGAAGGCCTTCCGGGCCTGGGCTGTCCCTCACTGCTGCTCCGGGACACCTTCTCTCCCACTTTCTCGCTTCAGCAAGGGACGCTGGTTCCCCGCTCCTCCCCCTGAGCAGGCTCCTGTGCCTGCCTGCTTGCTGCGGGCTGGTGACCTCCTCAGCCCTGGGGTGTGGCCAGGGGCCACCAGCTCTGGCCACATCGCTGCCGGTAGCACTGAGCACTGTCGGGCTGGTTCTGAACGCTTTCTGCTGCTGGGCAGGGAGCCATGGACCAGGCTGGGCGGGTCTCCAGCCTCAGAGGGCACTGTTCACTCAGCTCTGCCTCCGGCCTTTTAAATTCTGAGACAGGGTTTTGCTGTGTTGCCCAGGCTGGCTCAAACTTGCCATCCTCCCAACACAGCCTCCTGAGGAGCTAGGATTACAAGCGTGTGACACCTGCACCAGCACCCAGAGCGTCTCGACTGGATCAGGCAGGCAGGCAGGACAGGCCAGAAGCCAGGCCTGGTGGTGCACACCTGGAGTCCCAGCACTCGGGGAGGTTGAGTCTGGACGATCACAAGTTCAAGCCCAGCCTGGGCAACTTAGTGATTTGGTGACACCCTGTCTCCAAAACAAAAGACCACAGGCCTGGCTTCCAGCCTTGGGCAGAGCCAGAGCAGAAGGCGGATCTGCTTTGTCCCGTGGCCCCTTCTGTGCCCTCCCAGCCTCTCTTCTGGTGGAGGCTGAGGAAACACAGTGGAGGCCCCGCCTCACCCCAGATCCTGACCTTGTGGTCCCCCAGACACTGTTTCCCTCCTGTCACGGGTGAGGACCTCTGGCTGCTGTGTCCATGAGGCCGGTGATTGGCATTTGTCCCATTCTGTGTTTGCCTGGTAAATGCACCATGTTTTCATTTCTTTTCAAAGAAATTTTTCTTCAAAGTTCTTTTTTAGGAAACAAAACTCAAAAGTATTTTAAGGGGAAAAAAATCCTTTGTCCAGCTGATGAAAACCCCTGCGGTCCAGGGGCGGGGCTCAGTGGTGGAGCGTGTGCAGCCAGCCGCATGTGTCCTGGCATCCAGCCCCAGCCCCAGCCCCACACTGGTCACCGCCCGCTGTCCCGCACTTCCCCCCGGGGACAGAGCCCTCAGGCTGGGCTCGTGGCCCCAGGGTCCGTTCTGCTGTCCTGGCCACCCAGTCCCGGGGCTGTGGACCCCCAGACCACAGCTTGCTGTCCTCCCTGCCTCTGGAAATGAAGACCTGCTGGTGGCGCTCTAAACAGGCTTGGTTGTCTTCTAGGAGAAGTGCTATTTATTTTGGAGTGGTAGTAAAAAGGGCTCAGACGCTAAGGAGGCCATGCAGGCCTACTCTGAATCCCTGATGACTTCCGCTCCCAAGGGCGCTGTGCTGCAGGAGGCCCGGCTATAGGTGGGTACCAGGTAACGCCCCATCGGTTCCCAGGGAGTGGCCGTGTCTGATGCTGGGGCTGTCTGCAAGGTCAGATTAGAAAGGCCGGGTCAGGGTCAGCCTCGCTTGCGTGGCCGACCCACAGGAACCTCCTCAAGCTTGGCTCAGAACAGACTTCTGCAGGCCCCTGGAGTTGCTAGGGTTCAACCGATCGACACGGTACTAGGAATGGAACCCAGGGCTCGCTCACTGCACCCCGTCCCAGGCCTTTTTATTTTTTATTTTGAGGTAGGGTCTCACTGAGTTGCCCAGGCTGGGCTCAAACTTGGACCCTCCTGCCTCAGCCTTCCTAGTGAGAATCTGCTTTTTGGTACTGGGGATCGAACTCGGGATCTTGTGCTTGCGAGGCAGGTGCTGGAACCACAGATCTAAATCCCGGGCCCAGGAATCTGCTTTTTGATGGACCCCTGGGGATTCTGGTACAAAAGGTCCAGGCACCCTGAATGAGAAACTGGCTTCAATCCGGGAGGACTGACCGAGCCCAGAGCAGTGTCCAGGGCAGGCCTGGGGCTCGGGTTTCCGGACTGAGGGCAAACTGAAATGGACCGGATGTCCAGTTAAAGTGCATCTCAGGTAAACACGAGGACTGGCAGTCGCGTCCGGCCCACAGGGCACACCTCGGCCCGTCCCAGGCCCTGCTGGGGTTGTCCTCCCATGGGAGCTGCGGGCCAGTGTCCTCCTGCAGGGCTGAGCTCCGGAGGAGACGGGAGGCAATGTCCCCTTGTCCCGCTGGGAGGAGACGGCGGGTGCTGCCTGCCGGTTAGATGCTCTTCCTGCTGCCCAGGGTGGGTGGCGCCTGCCCTGCGGGTGAGGACTGTCCCAGCTACCAGGGCCTCCCTGGCCCCCGGCTCCCACTGGGACACCAAGTGGCTTCCTCCCTGCCCCCACCAGCCACGCCTCCTGGGCTCCAAGTTGGGTTTCCATGAGTCCCAGGTTGGGAGGTCCGGGCCTGAGGCTGCCCCTCCCTGGACATAACCGGAAGTCGGCCCCCACCCCAAATCAGAGCAGCTGGGGCCCCTCTTGATTGGTCTGGTTTTGAGGCGATCAGGGAGTGTCTGACCCCACCCAGGGGACCCCTAGCCCTAGTCATGTGGATTTGAGGGGCATAGTGACCTCCAGGGACAGCTTCAGCTTGGGGGGCCAGGCCCATGGGAGCTGATCCTGCAGGTGGCCTCTAACCCAGGGAGCCCCGCTCTTTGCCCTGCACCTGCCTGGGGGGTTGGCCCAGGGGTGACTTTGATTGGCAAAAATGGGGAACAGGGCCTCGGCTAGCTCAGAAGGGTATCTCTTTAGGAGTAAGAAAAGGCAGCACCTACTGGGCAGCTGAGGCTTGCTGTGGGGCAGAGGGCCTGCCAGACCGTGTGTCTGCTGGCTCTACCTGTGCAGTGAACAGCCTGGACAGCTGTACAGGCCGGCCCCTCAGGGAAATAGCCCTGGACCTTCTCCAATCTTACTCTTCTGTCAGTTAAACAAAAGTGGAAGGGAAGAGGAAGAACTGGCTTCAGTTCTGGCTCCTGTGGGCTTTGTCAGGTGTCGAGGGGGGAGGTTTTTTCCTTCTGAGTGACTTTATCAAGAGGGCCCCTGACTGCCCCTGTGGGGGCCGTGGGGTGGGTGGTGACAGCAGGAAGCCCGTGGTCTGCCCCCTCCCCAAGTCTGGGGTTTCCAGGGCCAGCATAGGCGAGGAGGGGCAGGGGTAGGTGGGGATCGGAGCTGCACGGCCCATTGTTGTGCTGTTGTCTTCACTCTTCATCGTTTTAAGGCGAGGACTTTTAAAGGTATAAAACCGGGTGAACTACAGCCGGTCCCCACCACTGTCCTCTGCTCTTCTGTGTCCACTTCCCTCGCCCTGGCTTCCTCCAAATCTGCACCTGCCCGCCCCAGCAGTGCGCAGCACCTTCCTCCGTTTCTGTTGGGGACACTGGGCTCGGCTCTGCACCACTGTGTCTGGTCTAGGAACACATCACTGCCGGGCGTGGTTGCGCATGCCTGCAATCCCAGCATTCGGGAGGCTGAGGCAGGAGGACCTCTGTGAGTTCAAGGCCAGCCTGGGCTCCATAGTGAGTTTAGGATCAGCCTGAACTGCACAGCCAGACTGTCTCTAAAAAACAAACCAGGACCGGAGATGTGGCTCAGTGGTTCCACAGCCTGGCCCACAAGTGGAAGGTCCCGAGTTCGATCCCCGGTACCCAAAAAAAGAATGACCACGTCGCGTCCACGGACACCGAGGTCCTTTCCTGGGGTAGACAGTGGCCCCGCCCTGGCTCCCCGATGCGCCCTGCTCCCGGATCGGGCGTCTCTTCGGGCTTGGTCCCTGGTCTAGGAGGGCTGGGGCCGGGATCCTCGTTGTCGGGTGGGCGGCGACCGGTGACCGCTCCTCTTTCCACAGGGTCCCGAGGACGCCCTGAGCCAGCCGGGCAGCGCCGCCCGGTCCGAGCGGCCGCCCAGCCCCTGCGCCCCCCTGCTCCCGGAGCCGCCCCTCGCCCCGCCCGCGGGGCCCTCGGCCTGAGCCGCCCGCGCCTGCGCACAGCTGTGCCCGTGGCCGAGATGCGACGCGCGCTCTTCGGGAACCTTCCGGAACCTTGTGCGGCGGCCCCAGCGTCCGAGTCCGCGCCCTGGGCTCGCGTCGTCCTCCTAGCCCGGGGCCAGGCCCGTCCCGGACCGGCTGCGGCTGCGGCTGCGGCTGCGGCTCTGGCTCAGGCCCACGCCAGCTCTGAGGCCGAGGACCCGGCCTGGCCCAGCCTCCGGCCCTTTGCTACCGCGAGAGGAGCGAGTTGTGTCATCTTTCGGCGAATGCACTACGGAAGCAATAAACCTTTTGCACAACCGAGCTCGGCGTCCGTCCGTGCCTGCCTGCGGCCCTGCCCGGCGGCCCCGAGCCCATGCGCCTGTCTGCGGCTCCGCCGTTCGCCGGGGTGAGGCGGCATCAGGACCCCGCGGTGGCCTCCGTGCTGCTCCCTCGGGACCGGGCGCCCTCCTGCGATTGCACAGGTCCCGGCGGACGGGTTGGCTTGCTCTCCTCCCGGAAGATGGGAGACGCGGTCAGGAGAACAGACGGGGCCGGGTGGAAGTGTTACCAGCACTCTGGGAGGCTGAGGCAGGAGGGTTGCAAGTTTGAGGGCAGCCTGGGCAACTCCATGACTGGGCAAGACCCTGCCTCCGAAAATGAAACAGGGCTGGGGATGTAGCTCAGTGGGAAGGCCGTGGGTTCAATCCCCAGGATTGTTGAAAAAAACTTTTTTATCTGAAGTTCAAATAGTTGCAAAGGCAGACCTCCTCCCATTTCATCCCTGCTGAATGTGCTGAAAAAGACCAATCATGAGGAACACACAGCACGCTCTCTTTTCAACTTGTATTTCCTTTCTTCCTGCCCCTGGCATTTCTCTGAAGGTTTTATATCAGATGCTTCACTGGATTTTATTAATCGCTGAAATTGTTTTCTCAGCAACCTAAATAGCCATATAAGGTGTAGTGAACATTTTTATTATTTCCTGTAATTGTTAAGGTCTTAGATTATATATACACATATTTATATATACACATGAGGGTTTTTGTTTTTTTGGGTTTTTTTGAGACAGGTCTTGCTGTGTTGCCAAGGCTGGCCCTGAACTCCTGGGCTCAAGTGATCCTCCTGCCTCAGCCTCCTGCATAGCTAGGATTGCAGGTGCTCACCACATCCCCAGCATGGCAGTCATCTTTTGGCCTGGTGCCGTCTTTGTCCTTGTGCTGCCACAATAAGATCCCACAGCCTGGGAGACACGAGCCCCAGACGCTTCTCCCTCCCCAACCCCGGGCCTGCCCATCGCTGCCCGAAGTGGCCGCCTGGTGTCCTTGATCTTCCTCGTGGGGAGACCGTGTGGAGCTCTGGTGTCCATGACCAGGAGCTGAGCGTTTGGGCCAGAGCCCGCCCTCCTGGCCTCCTCCACCTCCGTGTCTTCCTCAGGGGCTTCACCCCAACACAGCCCCCAGGGTCGGACTCGGAGTGGGACTTCGGGTGACAGTGACACGCAGGTGATGCCTGGGTCCTGCGGCCACTGCCATCTGAGTGCCTGTGTGAGGTGTGTGCTCCACGGGGACCCAGCAGACGTGGGCCCGAGCCCCCAGCTCCCACATGGGCTGCCCCCGAGTGGCTTCACGCCTCGGGGCACGGGGTGGCCCTGGGTCCCTGCTTACCGGCGCCCCACCGGGTGTGCCCTGCGCAGACCGAGGGCCCGGTTGCCGGGTCCGACAGGGACCCGGGCAGCTCGGGGGGCGCCGGGAGCTCTCTGGGGAGGGCAGGGTCACCCTGGGCCGCCCCGCCTTCGGTAGGCCCTGGCGTCGCAGTGGGGTCCCGCCAGGTCTGTTCGCTCAGATGGGGTCGCCCTCCCCGAGGACACTGGAGCGACGCAGGCGCAGAGAAGAAGCGCCCGGCTGGGCCCTGCAGGAGCCCCTGGCCCTGGGTCACCAGGTGTCGGCCCTTAGGTGTCTGGCAGGCTTTGCACCCAGGTTGCTGGGGGCTGGGCTTCTTGTCCCACCCCCCTCCCGCCACTGGTCCCTCCGACTTAGGGGGTTATTCCCTGAGGTCCACCGCTTGGCTCAGGAGCTGTCACCCTAGCAATGGTAGTTTGTTTTGTTTTTGAGACAGGGTCTCACTATGTAGCCCAGGCTGGCCTCAAACTCAGTGATCCTCCTGCCTCAGCCTCCCGAGTGCTGGACTCACAGGTGTGTGCACCACCATGCCCAGCCCTAGGAATGGTATTTTACGTGTGTGTCTGGGTGCTTTCTCCTTAGCAGTCTTCAGGTCTTCAAAGGGATGTGGGCCCTTGCTCCCTGAGGGTGGGAGGAGCATGGGCAACCCTAAACTAACACCCTGGCAGCGATGGGCCCCTGCGATGCTGACCTCAGGAGCCAGGCCTGGACGCTGCTGCTGCGAGTCCCCTGAGTCCCAGGGATTCGGCTTCGGCGACCCCGTCCAGCCCCAGGCTGCTGGGACGAGGGGACCAGAGAGGGAAGGGCTGTCGCAGGGCCGTGCAGCAGGGCCGTGGGTGGACGGGTAGGGATGGGAAGGTGAGGCCAGGACAGTGGCTGTGTCCTAGCGGCGGTTCCTAAGCCATGCTCGCCTCCTGCTCTGCACCCCTGGCCGGTGTGTGCGGGAGACCGAGGCGCACTCCTGGCCTCGCCCCCCTGCGGCCCCAGGATGGCTCTTGGAGCTGGGTCCCGGCTCCCCGCCTGGCTCCCCGCCTGGCTCCCACGGTTGGCCTGGCCCCCGGGGCTCAGGATCCAGGTGAGCGAGCGCCCAAGGTCGCTGCCAGGTGGATGCCTAGCGAGTGGGGCGCGGGTGCAGGGCACGGCCGCCAGGGGGCGCTGTGGGTCCGGCCTCGTGGGCTGCAGGGACGTAGACCGCGCCGCCTGCCCCCTGCGGCCCCCCGGGGCTTGGCAGCGGCTACCTTTTTCTTTTCCTTTTTTTTGGTACTGGGGATCGAACTGGGGACCTTGTGCTTGCAGGGCAGGCGGCAGAACCACTGAGCTAAATCCATGGCCGCAAGCGGCTACCTTTTGAGGTTCTGGATGTTTAAAATAAAAAATGAAAACCCTACGAACCAGGGCTGCACAAATGTATTTAAATTTTAAAAGCTAACCATTTCCACACACACACACACACCCCCACACACACACCACACGCATGCTTTGGTGACGGCCAGGACTTGTAGGATTCTTAGGACAGGGTTTGGCCGGAAGTGGGCGTGGCCGGGGCTGGAGAACTCCAGGGCGGACAGGACGCTCAGATCATCTTGGCCAAACTGCAGCGCTGTCTGAACACAGGCCCCAGACCTCGGGGTGGACACGGTCCTCGTGTAAACGGGTGACCAGGAGGCACTGTCCAAGGCAGACAGCTGTCAGCCTCATGGGCCAGGAGTTTTACCCTGACAGGGACATGCTGTTGTCCCCCACTTTACAGATGAGGAAACTGAGGCCCAGAGGGAGGATCAGAGTCCAGATCCGAACCCCAGCAGTGGAGGTGAGGCTGAGCGTGGTCAGTGGCCACCCGCCACGTCTCCTTGTTGCCTGGTGCCACGCAACACCAGCACCCTGGTTTCTCTCTGCCACCCTGGCTGGTGTTCAGGACCCCAGCTTCGAGGACCCGGGTGGCCCTGCGTGAGGACTCCCAGCTGTCACAGGCCACGGGGGTGCAGGCTGCTCCCGGACCTGCCGCTGACTCCATCTGCCAGGCTGCGCCAGCCGCTCCAGAAGGGCCCAGCGGGGGACATGGGCTCATTCCAGAGAGGTCTCGGTGGGCGCGAGAGGCCCAGTGAAAATAAATACAGCTGAAAACAGAGCCTCGGGGTGGGCAGAGGCCGGGGGCAGCACCCGGGACTCTTGGGGGAGAGAAAGAACCAGGTGAACCTGGGGCGACAGCCGTGTGGAGCCAGGGGTCACGAGCCAGGAGCGTCCCCAGACCACAGAGCAGTCGAGGACACTCGGAAGTGACATCTCAGGACGTGGCTTCCCCGTGATGTCACCGTGGGCTTCACGCGTCCCCTGTGTAGCACGCTGACCCCTGGTCCAGAAGGGGGCCTGCGTCCTGTGTGTCCATGTCCTCAAGAGGATCGTAAAGGTCACTTGATGCACGTTGGCCTGGGGGGAGTTGGTGATTTCAGATATGACCCAAAGTCCTCTCGGAACCAACTGCGACCTCGTTCACCACGGGTTCACCAGGTCCCAAGGAACTGCGCTGCAATACCAGGCGCTGCCAGCAGGTGCCGCTGCGCCCCACCCGGTCCAGGGCTTCTCTCTAAACCGCGCATGCTTGTGTCCCCACTTCGTCCCTTTGCATGACGGACCCACGCGGCTTAACAGATGCAGGTTCAGGTGCTTGCGGAGCCCAGCAGGTGGTGCAGACGGGCTTGTTTTCCTGTGCAGGCATGGGGCAGAGAAGGCACGCTGGGGCTGGAAGCGGGGCCAGAGAGAGGTGGGCTGTGTGGGGCACTGATGTTTTGCCTCCCAAAGTGGTACCTTTTCATTGCTCGGACCTTTTTAAAATTTGAGACAGGGTCTCACTGTGTATCCCAGGCTGGCCTGAAACTCGAGGTGATCCTCCTGCCTCAGCCTCAGGCACGCACCACCACGCCCTCCTCACCACTTTCAAGGGGACCCTGTGGACACCATTACCCATCAGACTGCCAGGAAGGCACACCTAGGTGACAGCAGGGCTGGGCGGGCATCGCTGAGGATGGGGTGGTTCCTGGGTCAGCCGCCTGGACCTGGTGCCGCCTCGGCACCACAGCAGCGTGGTGGAGCTGCAGACTGCTGTCTCCCGGTCTTCCTTTTTAAAGACAGATATATGGGAGAAGATAATTGTAAGAAAACAAGATCTGAGTTTTAATTATTGGCTCTGAATTCCAAGTGGAACATGTCCGGGGCAGCGTGCGAGCTGTGTGACCCCTGAGCTGTCCTCCAGCAGCCCGGGTTGCTGAGTGTGTCTGTCTCATCCCCTGGCAGGGTAAACAGCCCTGGTGGAGGTTTGTAAATGCTACAGCTGATGCTACAGCTAGTATTCAGGTAGAACTGGGTTTGAAGCCCAAATGTTGGATTTATAACTGTGTGACCTTGAGCAGGTCTCTTAACCTCTCTGGGCCTCAGCCTCAGAGCCAGAGAGAAGCTTGGCTTATCTCAAGCTGCTGGAACCTGGGGGACTGTTTGTTATGCAGCACAGCCCTGGCGGCTGACTGATACACTGCACCTCCCGGGACCACTGCACAGAGTTGGTGAGCCACACATGGAGCAGGCACAGTGCACTTGGCCTGTCACAAGCCACAAAGCACTAGCAGATTCTTCTCCTCCTTCTCCTCC